AAGATAACAGTTGTATACTCAATCGTCAGTTTAAACGTTGATGATAAATTGATAACATACTGTACCTGTTGAATTGACTTGTTATATTATACTCATTAATTATTATGGTATTAAGTATAGTCTATAAGCGTTAATTGGTATTCGGTAAAATCCGTACGGGTTATGGTACCTTTTCAATCGTATTAATTCCACGGTCTCGTCAATGGACGCACAGCAATTATTTCGAAACAGTCGAAGCCCCTGGTCCAAGGCACTTTACGTGTAAATAATATTTTTATTATATTAATAATATAATTAATAGGGCTAGGGACTTCATGCCCTTAAAAACCTTAAAATATGTATGCATTTATGCCATAAAGAATCAATAAATATGCTATTAAAATATGTATTTAAAAAAAATTATATTTGGAATAATTAATTAAATAAAAAAATTTAACTAGTAATAAATTATAATTATATTTTTATATATGATAGATATGATAATCTGAGATAATTTTTTCTTTTTTTCAAATTTTTTTTCATCTTATATTGAGTTTTTATTTAAAGCAAAATACTTAAAATGGTTTTAAAAATAAATTAAATTGAAAATATTTTTTTTATTTTTAATATAGTAATAATTCTTCTAACCTTGAGCATTATATTGGACTATAAGATATTTTCTTAAGTTGGAAAATTTAAATGACTGCCTGTTATCAACCAAAATAATTTTAAATTTAGAAAAGGAACGTTACAAGTCTACAGAACTTATTGGTGCAAATTTAAAAAATCGTAAGTCACTATTACTAATATCTGCAGGCAATCCATCCATAGATTATTTTTTCCATTTAAAATGTTCGATATTTTTTTGTAGTTAGCCTTGGCTTGTGCAGATTCTTCAATTTTTGCAGAATGTATACGTTTGATGCAGTTTTAATTATTTTAATGCATTCAGTTAGTGCACCAATAAGAGACCTTGAGTTCCAAGTCACGTGATATATGAAGAAATAAATCATAATTTTTTTTTATAAAATTTAAAAACTTACTTCTTCATATGAATAATTGTCAAATATGCATTTATAAAATGAAAAATGGTCAAATATGCACTTATAAATGAAAAATGGTCAAATATGCAAAATATGAAACTATAAATTTTAAATATAAACTTGTATTGCTATGAAACAAATTTATATATTACTTAGCTATGTTTTTGATAATTATTTAAAAACATGCAAGTTCCTAGAAGTCCCGAGCTCTAATAATTAATAATATTAAAACTGATATTATTAATGTTTTAAATTATTATAAATTAAAAAATATTTATATAAAATAATAGATAATTAAAATTTTTATCTAGATAAGGCTCAACACTGCTTGTATGATAATCGAAAGAAAATTAAAAATCCTAATATTAGCATATGCATACATCAAAGTAAATGTTAATTTCTAAAACATATTTTAGTTGTTCGTCTCATTTGTAATAGTTCATGTTTTCAACCACATAATACTGACTTTGTGTTTTATTATTTTTGCGATTTACTATAGCTGCTGTGTTCTCCAACGTATAAAATATATATTATTATTATTATTATTTATGGAGAAATATTTTTTCTATTGAAGATTTAGTCATATACCCAATCTATACAAAAACAAAACGAAAAGCACTAAATAGCTGTTTTAAAATTTCATTGGCTGTAACACTTGTTAAAATCTAAAATAAATCAAACCAATAAATTACAAGAATGTAAATATATATAAATTACTCTTTGTTCCATTAGCTATCAACGAAGTATACATTTAGGGCGTATCCAAACCGCTAAAGTATAAAAATATTACAAACACACCAATGGAGATACTTAAAATAATAATTAATGCTTTGTGGTACGAATTAGTGTAACTACAACTGCAAAAAAATAATCCAAAATCCAAATACTACAGTCTGTCGCCTAGAAAAAAACGAAGCGAAAAAATGTGTTGACTTTTTTTTTTCAAACAGAATTTTATTGTTTAAATCCAAATAATAGCATGAAAGAATAACCGAGTTGGTGCAGCAGCAGTGTTCGTGCGGTGACGGTAGCTGCGATTTAAAAATGGGAACTTATAAATACCGACGACAGTGGCCCAATGGGTTTGACAAATGGGTACCGGGCCAAAAAAAGACAAATGGTCCGTACGCCGACAGGTGTAATTTGTCACATCTCCTCCGAACAGCGGTAGTGTCAATTGGTTTCGTTCGAATTTTGGAGTCGTCATTGTCGTCGGTGGGGTTGGATGTGGTTACGGACGGTTTCGCGGTGGCACGAAAAAAATATTAATAAACGTGATGCGCGCTGCCATCGCGGAGTTTTTTCGTTTCCGACGATTCCGATGGAATTACCGCAGTAAAGATAATTAAAAATTCGTCTAAGAAAATTAAGACGATTTGTGCACTTATACAGCTGTAATTACGATGGATATATGTTGAGTTATTGTTTTTCGATTTTATACATACATCGTATGGCACATTTTTTTTTTCATTATAATATATATTATATGTGTTTTATACATGTCTTTTTATATCCATTTATAAATGCGTCCTGGAAAATATTTCTATGCAAAAAACATTATGTAAAAATGTTAATTAAAACTCTGTCTTTACCAACTATTGCTCACATTAATTGATTGCGATCTATGTTTAAATTAAATACTAATTGTTGACCAATAGAAAATAATAACTTCATATAAATATTTATATAGGTTTTAAATATATATTTATGAAGTAACATTAATGTCTGCCTATATAAATATTTAGTTAAAACCTGAATACTATGCAGGATAGAAAAAAAATGGAGGCTTTGACGGTGGCGGCGAAGACTCTTGAAGAGTGATTAAGCCAAGAAAAAAAAGAAAGAAGTTAAGACCTAAATAAAACCTAATACAACGTTGATTTATTTGAATTATGTTTACGTTGAGTTGTCGTTGAGAACAGGGACCATTTGCGCTTAAAACAACATTATTGATCCAATGTTAAGCTCCATATACACTTACAATTGCACTTAATTTTTATTGTAATCGAAAATGTGGAATAATTTGTTTATACGATTTCGTATTTTTTGTTTTAGTTTTTTTTTACAAATAATTGATTATAAAATGATACTTAAATATTTTACGTCAAGATTTATTATATTTCATTTTTCATAATATTAAAGTAATTGGTGTACAGAAAGGTAATGTTGAGTGCAATATTATTGGTTAACTCTGTCGTTGTCAGTTTATCAAGAACAAAATGATCGTCGTCCAAACGTCCAACAAGTCTAAACTTAACTACATGGCCCTCGTTGTTGGTTATTCCAAATCGGCCATAACATTTTTCGTTATCGAGTTTAATATTATGAATTTATATTATTTGAAGACAGATGTTAGATTAGATAACACTAATTGAAAATAGAATCCAAATGAAAATTACCTGTGTAGGTACAACATTTGTAAATGTTCCAACGATATGAACAATTGTTCTACCATCAATATATTCAGTGAAACTTTATGAACAACAATAAGCATTCGAAAAAAAAGTGCATACGTTTTAGTAAATTTTAACTCTCGAGCCCTTCCTAACAATACTTTATTGATTATTTAGGTTTGTAAACGTGTTTGATGAGTGATTTCAGTAAATACAGGATTTTTTTTCCAATGTGACGATAACATAATCGTAACCTATGCTTGTACAATTTTTTGTCGACTTCTAATTTCTTAAGAAATTCTACATAGCTTCTGACGATCTCTTGTTGAAGTGGTTATAAGAAAGTTAGTTTGTTGTATTTAAACGTCGTAGTTAATAAAAATGAATATTTCTAAATATATTTTTGACATAAGTTCAAGTTTTATTTTATAAAACCAATTTTTTTTTTAATTTGAATAATAAATAATAATGCAACTTCAAAGGAATAAAACATCTAATCATAAACTCGGAATATGTTTTCCCATCACGCAGCCGAGTACTCATAAATATAACATTAAATATTTTAAAATATTTTTACTTAATTTATTATTTTGTAGCATCCTTTGTTTGTTATATTTAAATCTTTTTTTCTTTAAAATATTTTTATCATTGTTTGACTGTATTTCATTTATGTTTAATTAATTAATTTTATGCTATATATGCTAATTGTACTTCTATTATACAATAATACGAACTTACAGAAATAAATTTAAAAAAACTTTTTGTGTTGATCATTTGTAACGATAAAATGATTATATAATGTATATGTTGCAGTTTAAGTATGAAATCATACATGAAAATAATACTTTAATTAATTATTTCATAGAATATCTAGTTATTCTATAAATTTTAGTTTGATATATGTTAAAGTATAAAATACACTAAAATTTAAAATATATTTTAACATTTTACTTATTTTAAATTGTAGAGACCGACGAACCAACACTGAACGCATGTGACTGTAAGATTATTACCAAACATTAAATTTTACCAATAGTATTGACAATCTTAATAATAATACATACATGTACAACGATAATTTTATCTAACACGATAAACGTACATGAACACTGCAGTCATCGACAACAAGAACGTCAATTTTATCTAATTTATTGCTATAGTGGACAGTAAAATAACGATGTTGTACATGTACGAGTATGAATGTATCGATTTGACACATTAACGTGTGATGCCAGAGAATGTATAAAATTATTAGTATAAATTATGTACATCACCTACACATTTTAGTTATTTAATAAACTGATTCAATACATCAACTGTAACATAAATAATTCATGAATTAATTCGAAAATGATCGTACTTTACTACTGCAATAATACTCCATACTAAGTATTTATTTATTTACTTCTATATATAAACTATTTGTTTATATTTTATTTATATGTTCATTTACGAGTATTAATCGTTTACTAATATTTAATTTTTATTTAATTATTTATTATATTATTATTTATCTAAATTGTTTTGTGTTAAAATGTGAAGCGTTTTTGTGACGGTAAAAAAAAAATATATAGGTATGAATATATATTGAGAAACAATACGTTAGGAAATTTTATTGCGTATTGGATAAATAAATACAAATAATAATTATAATAATCATAAAGAGTGAAATCACTTGGTCATACAATTTCAAATTACATACGTTGGTGATGTTGAATAGAAGACTTTACACTCCGAACAACGGATCGGGTACGGATATAGGGTAAAACGTGTGCTTGATAATATTTAACGCGTACACGGAATGTATGTTATCGGCCGAAAAATAGAAAGTAAAAATTAAAAAACGTATAAAAACGTGTTGAATAAATTATTATTATTATTAACACATTTGCACGTCAGTTCCATTCGGGACTGTTTTCGTCTATGACACGAGATCGCTGTCATCAGTAAGAAGTTGTCGCTTCGTAACCGTCATCATTGCTATTCACTGCTGCCGCGTTCGAATCGTTATACGTGTGATCGGACGATGACAACGAATACGAGTAGTTCTTCGGCGGGTATCCAAACATGGCCTGGTATGGAGTCATACCTATGGCTGATAAATATCGTATAAACATTTCGTTAGTGATTTCATGTTCTCAAGTCGTAAAAAACCGCACATATAAAGTTAGGCACAAATCCAGGCACGTATACAAGGGTTGAACCCACCGTCATACCCGAAATTGTAAGAAATTATACTTTAATATTTTTTTATTCACACTTTGCATTCGGTAGTTTTTTGTTTATGTAAAATATATTCGATAGGTAAATGTAGCTAAATCAAATGTTCTGTCGTTATTTTTTAATAATTGTTGTAATCGTAGAAATTAAAAACCCTAAACACCTTTTCGAAATATTTTTATGTATTCACCAACTCGAATCTATACACTGTCAGAATTGACGGTGTCGATCAGTAGCATAAAAAAAAAAGTGTATGGATTTGTACGCATAGAAGTGGGTAAAAAAAATCATCTGTAGCAAAACTAATTGTTCTGTTTGTTGTTTAACATAGCCGCGGATACTTTGAAAGTTGAAAAATAGAAAAAACTGGTTAGGATTCATCGCGAACTCTTTAACGGTTTTATTGAGATTTATTTCGGTCTTTTAGACCAGCCGATCGCTGTATGAATCGGCGACGGACGAATAAGATATGAATCGCATATAACTGCGCCGAATTAAATTTCGGGATCGCATAGCCTTGCAGGATTCGCGCCCACGTTTTTAAGTTAACACACCACGCTTACTTACCCGGATGCACTTGGCAGTTGGTCTGCAGCTGGACGGATTTGAGCGCCAACGGCCAGTTGTAGCAGTTCTCCGCCACCTCCCACGCGTCCAGCATTTTTAATATACGCTCGAGATCCATGCTCCTGCTGCAGGACTCCGGTACAGCATATTCGATCGCGGCCCACTGCCACACGGACCGTATGTGATCGATGACGGAGCCGACGTACTCGCTGCCACACATGGACTCCAGCACGGTGGGCACGCCGAACGCCGCGTACACGTCCAGCAGACCGTGTGCCACCTCGTCGGGCCGTAGGGACCGGACAGCGATCAGGTGCACGAACTTGGTGGCATGGTCGCGGTGCGTGACCACGAACCGGTAATCATCGTACACGCGCTCCTGCATGTCGATCAGTTCGATGCGGCCGCGGGACACGTGATCCCGGCTGAAGTGGGACGCCACGGCCCACGGGTTGTGCCGGGCGCAGTGGGTGCACAGCTTCAGGTACGTCATCACCGCCTCCTTGGTCACATTGCTGTACCGGGCCTTGAGTTCGGTCACCATGCGGTTCCGGCCACCATGGCCGACGTCCAGGTGCGCCTTGTGCAGCACGTCGAATAGCTGCTCGTTAGTCACGCACTCCGTGCCGGCCGGCAATTTGACCAGACGCTCGCGGCCGTCCGCGTCCACCGTAACGTCGTACTTGCGCACCATCCGGAGATCCTTGGCCGTCATCGCTTTCTCGCCCGCGGTTCGCAACGCCATCCGCGTCCGTTTCACTTCGCGCAGCCGACGCTCGTACTTGTCCGCACTCAGGAACCCGTTGGTAGCCTTGAACTTTTGCTTCAGCAACGTCGCCACGGCCTCGTCGAATTTCGTTCGCATCTCCTTGTCCGGCTCCATCACACTCGCGACGTGGTCGTACTTGGTCCGACGGGCGATCTCCTCTCCTGGTACGGTCACAACGTTTATCCGCGCGTCGATTTTATCACGATATTATCGTTGGGCCTTTAGGACGCGCATAAAAATTATTTCACTGTTGACAAATCGCATTCGGGCAATGTTGAAATTTCGCAAAACGGCTGAGAACGCAACTGACCGTTGACGTGTTTGTCGGTGTGACGATTTTCCGAGCAAAACAGTACCTTATCAGAGGTCCCCGGTGTAATAATAATAGTGATACAAGAACATCGCGCTATCGGAGCCCGGTACTATAATCATTGATTAAGTATACTTAATCAATGCTATAATGTAATACGCGCGTGTACATCCGATAAAATATCAAGTCATTAAAGTCATTAAAGGCGATAATGATGATATCGCCCGAGCACGAGTCGCATAAACGTTACGATGTTCACACCGAGCACGCCACTTAACCGGATTTATATAATATATATTACGAGTATAATAACAGTACGTGCCGGGGCGTACCTCTCCTGATGCCACAGCATGCCGCAATTACTGTGCCCACGGTTTCGGAGAGGTAAGCAGGTGCGACACACATACACACACATGCGCAGTTTGCGGGTGAAGGGATACACGGGATCGATGACCACCAAGTTGATGTTTACAAAATAGGGCAGGACTGCGACCGCGAAGAAACCGAGAGGTCGGTTGAGCTTTACCGGGGCAAATGATATTGGTGAAGGGTTTTTGTACATTTAACGTGACCGTTAGCTTCGGAAAACGATTTCGAGTGAAAGAGGTCGTGTTGATCAGTGTTCATTTCTGAAGATAATTTACATCAATATATTAGTGTAGGTATCTAATCATTTCGTTCACTGGTTAACATACCTTTACGAAAGAAAAAAGAAAAACGGATTTAATAATACATAACCTTTTGACTTTGATTAATTATTTATCAGTTAAGATTATCAATATAACACTAATATTAGTATCCAGTTTACGTCTCAATAATTTTAATATTGAAAGATAACAAAATGGCTTTTATTGCATATTTGAAATTCGCAAAATATTCAGATAATCTAATGAATTTCGTTAAAATATTCGATTATGTCAATATTTTTTTTTCCAGAGCATCTTGTCTTTTTCAAAAACGTATTTAGAGTTTTGACGCCCTAGCTAATGTTTTATTGCCACCCCTGCACACGTTTTATACAATTTTTCAAGAAAGATAATATTTATTATTCATGGCTTTTACGCGGTCAACTTTCGATAATATTATCATGAAAATCAAAATCACTATACAAAATCTTAAAATATTAAAATTTTTTGATTGATGAATGAAAATGGATGATGGAGTATGGTAACAAAAAAATGCTGCCACCCCTTAATTCCAAAGAAATTTGTTGCCCGTATCGATGATACCCCCTCGCTATCCTTGAATACGTCACTGGTCTTTTTTCTACATTTTTTTTTTCTTCTACAAATAACATATTTTGAATAGTTATTTTATCAAATTTTCAACTATAAATTTGTAGTATATTTTCATTATTTTGATTGGGTTATGTCAAAATTCAAGCATTTAAATTCTTATAAATAAAAGTTGTTATTCGCACTGCATTATCTGTCGCACGAAAACGTGTTCCTTAATTCACGTTTTCGTAAATTTTTGGTTATGTTTTTGTCGAATATTTCCAAGTTATGTTCTCAGTATCGCAAAAGTTTCATAAGTTTGGTTGTATTGTTTTTATTGTATTGACACTGAGGCATTACATCTTAATTTTGGTGTCTAGCGACCGTAGCTTTCTTGGTGAATGTCGTCGGCGCCGTTTCTCTCTCTTCTGTGTTTCTTCGTAATGTGCACATCAATCATTTTGTTCAAGTGTCCGTACGTGCCAACTTTGTTAAAACCACGTTTTGTCGATTTGGTCATTTTTTTTCTATCGTGAACTATAAAATTAAAATACCTTTCGAGACAAGATTGTCCAACGTAACCGTTTTTTATTGTTTATTAGATTTATCAGCCGCCGCCTTGTGAGTAACGTGGTTTTTCCTTCATTGAGACATTTTTTCTGGACAGTGAACTTGTGCTGCTTTTTCGTCTACAACTGTGTCTAGGTGGTCGCACACACGCGAGGCATAAACCTAATTTCTATTTGTGTGTAATTTATTGTACAAACATATTCTTCGGTGCAGTCAAGTGCGACGAAGTCCGCCATTTGACCATGATCACATGTTGTGAGTATTAGTCAACCATTAATTCGTGTGTTCCTTGTTGTAAAACATAAAGAGTTGATGAGCAGGGCTGTCATAGACCTTCAAATTAATTATAATATTTTATTGTATTTTTAGCCGCGTCGGCCATTATAATTTATTTTATAAATTATTGGCTAGTTCTTATTTGTTGATATTGTTTGCCATGTGTGCTATATTATTTGAATAAGTAGTTCCTATTTTTTCATTGTTTATTGTTCATTTGTCAATAGTTACAAAAAACAAGTAAGTGCTTCTTTATTTGGCTTGGCAGACTGTCCAGTTGCGCTGATCGGCTCTTAAACCTTTGTAATCCCGAGAGCCTTTCTTTAAATAAGGAGGAAGGTAATAACTCATAATACATTATAAAAAACTTACCCCCATTCAACATTATGCCCTTTAAATATTTATTTTTTTATTTTTATTTTGTATTTTCGGGTTATTAAAATTTTATATTTATTGTATTGGATAATCAGGCAAATCATTATTATTATTATTATTATTACCAAAATAAGAAGAAAAAATACAAAAACAAATTGATTTTATTTATTGCTATTATTTCAAAGCCATTAAGGCATTGCTTTGATGATTAGGAGCTGACGGTGGCAATAGTTGTGATTCTATATTTTCGATTTTTCACACAATAGCAATACCAACTTATGAGGATTTTGTTTAACAATTTTGAGTAATCAAACCAACAATTACAATTATAATTAAAGTATAATTAATTAAAAATTAACGATCATCGAACATACCAAGCATATTTTCATAATATAAGCTTTTCATTATATTTCATTAATATATTTCGAAAATTATAAGATATCTATCAAGTGCGAACATATGTTACTCATTACATGTTGTTGGATGAATGTGTTTACCGTAATATTAAATATACCGGATATAATTTTTTATAAAAATATATTATTGGTAATTCCAGAAAAGAAATAGTCTATACCTACGTTTTCACTGTTCCGACCCAACTTAGTATATTTCATGCGTACTATAAATGGTTTGAAGTCAGCAATATAAGTTTAAACTTCGAGCGAAGCAGGTAATGCAGTTCAGGTTTTACTATTTTTTTTAAATTTTTTTTTAAGTTATAATACATTTTTTTTTGTAAACACATTTTAAGCAATAAATATTTTATTGTTGTGAACACATTTTTCGATAGGAAATTACATGTACGCATAAGATATTTTCGAAAGACTCGATTTTTTTTTTTTGATACAGTTTTTAAAGCGCAAGGAAAGGCGAAAAAAAAAAGATTTGGAAATAATGTTAAGTTTTGTCTCATAATAACGTAAATAGCAAAGTCGTTAATATTCGTTTGAACATATTATGAATTTTTGTTATATGACTTAAAATTTTAAACATACACTGAAAGGCATTTAAAATTTTAATTTTATACAATTTGGGGATTCATTTTAAATACATTTAGATTAATTGAATAAATAGCTTAACAAAAATCTTACTTTAATTCTTGTGACAGATAACAGCTAGTTAAAAAAATAATAGCATCACTACGCTTTACAAATCTTAACAACTGATACGCGTATTTGAGATTGATTACGTTGCAGCTAATGGGTGTACCTATTTTATTTTCTACGGAAACGAAGCATCTTTGTTAATTACAATTTATCGGAGTGTACTAATGAAAGCTGTTATTAATGTCATGTTGGCATGCTGTGACCTCCAAAAGGCACATAAAAAGTATTGATATAACATCAATAATCTACAATGTTACCTGTCTTAAATGTTTACCTTTTAATTAATAAATTAAAGGCTGATTAATATTATGTAGTCAACAATTATTTTCACGGTAAAAATCGTTTAATTTATTATGACACATTTGTAAGTTTCTTACAACTTTTGATTTTGTAATTTTTAATAATAATAAAAAAAATATTCTTTGGGTACAAAAAATGTGCCAATGACTATTTGTATTAATGTGACCATTATAAATATAAGTGAAATAATTTTTAATATATTTTAATCATAGTATAATTTAGGACATACAGTATTTTATAAATGTTTCATTTTCCGATTATTTCTCAAATTATATAATTATATCGCAGATATGTATAAACATCTTCGATAAATTTAAATAATATTTCATGATATATCATATCAAAGTATAGCCATAGGACGAATCGAGTTGTCAATAAGTGAATTAAATACGTAAAACAGGAAGTTTGAAAATAAATTTCATTAGTCTTTATATTTATAGTTATTTTATCGTAAATTCGTGTATACATTTTTATTTTTTTATTAAATTATATGATATGTAAATATAAAATATATACATATTTTAAACAAGCACGAGTAATAATTAAAAAGTATTATTGAGACTACAGTTATGGGCGAAATCCATTGATGGAATTTAATGAATTATTTTTTTTATTTATTCTTGATTAAGAATAATTTAATATGTGTGGTTTATGATGAACATTTCTAAATAAACACATAAATATACACACATGGGAGATCATATCTGGCTCGTGTTACATTTTAAAATTACATTATACAATTTTAAAGTCTATCGTCTATACTCTAACTTATCGATATAATAATCGTTATCTGGTATTAAACATCGTTAAATATCTAAATGTCATATGTATGTATAAGTATAGCTTTCTACCATAGCTGTTTGTACTGAACTATTTAACTATATCAGTTTCTTCGTATCATTCGTATCGTGCTGTCATGTGTGTTGAATATTTTAATTCCATGTATATATATTCTAATTAAAATTCTAAAATTCATATTTTGAATTACTTTTATTTTTATCTATACTTTGGCCCGCTAGATTTTAGTTTCCTAAAAATTGACCCTCTAGTAAATGAATTGCCTATACCTGAGTTAGACCATTACATACATTACATAATAATGGAATTGTATGAGAGTTCAGGTAAAAATATCGATTACTATTAATGTATTATATAATATAAATATTTGATGAACTATATTAAACGAATAAGTGTAGTTATGCCATGTTTAATATGTTATTTTAATTGTTAATTATAATTATAACATTTTTATATTCAATAATTTTGTGAATGTTTTGGTATATTTAAAATTTATTCTAATTGTATTCATTTTTTTTTCTTTTTTCAGACTTGGCCGTACAATGTACACAACAGCGTAAAAGAATGTTCATCGTCTGAAGATGACTACAGATACAACTGTTATAATACACTGGAACAAAAACCCTATTCTACTTATGACACTTATTATACATCATCGATAAATTCGTGAATTCATATTTTATTATTGACTTATAAAAAAAAAAAAAAACTTGAATATATACATATTTATTATTAATAAAATATTTATATTGACATGACAATATATTATTATAATACATTTTATTATATAGTCGATGATCGGTGTTCAACACTTATTTTTTTATAATGTATATTTTTAATTAACTATTATTAAAATTTAATTACACTGATTGAAATCTTATGACAATCATTATTTCTATTTGGTGAATTCAAATTAAATGATTTATTAAACGGACCTGAGTTTATATGAATAGCAAAATAATTGAATTATTCGCGGGAAAGTTTCATCTTCTATACACGTGTGTACATGTATAAGAATATACATAAAGTCTAACTTATTCTTGTGTATACCATCAGAGTCTGAATTTATTAACAAGATGTTTTATCAGCTTTGAAGAAATATAAATGCATTTCATGTACATATACATTAATTAATTGGAAAGTCAGTCACTATCAAGGTCTTAGCCAGAAAAATATTTTGGTGAGGTGGTTTAGGGTATAAATATGTTTATTAAATACAAAATTTAAAAATTTTAAATGTAATAGTCATTTAAAATCTTTAAATTTGTAGTTGACTATTTCATTACTTTTGATTTAATTTAATTGTTTATTATTTAATTCTTAAAATTATATTTATGAATAAAATTTGAGAGAGTCTAAACTCTAACTCTCCTTAGCTACGGCTTTGATCATCGTAACTCATGATCTAGTGTGAATATTTAAGTGTAATTTCATAACGTAGCATAAATGTATTATTTTTAAAATTACTTAAAAAAAAATTCAAGATTGCTATTTTATGATACTTTCGATTAATACATTTTAAACCGGTAGAGTTTTCAATGAATGAGAGCAATTGATAGTTTCAAAAATACAGCAAGTATACGTATATAGTAGAAAATAAAGTTGTAATGAAAATTAAAAATTATTTCTAATTGATTCATGGTTGAATCACTAAACGCAAGAAGGGTACATATCGACATTTCATAAATTTTTCATAAGAGACAAAACACTTGGGAAAAATTGAAAATTCACATTATGTAGAATGTACAATATGTAAGATTCTGAAAAGATCTTATGAATTTTTATAAAATTATATGCCGTACAATGTTTTTCAATACATTGACATATGTTATTTTTAACATATGAATGTGTTAAAAGAAAATTATTTTATTGCTTTTTTTCCTTTAATTTTTTCCAGAGATTTTAAGTTTTTTGTCTCTCCTGAACAATTCAAGAAATGTAGACATGTGTCATTTTTGCATTTAACATAAAATATCATGATCATTTTATAATTTTCTTGTAAGCTGGATATACGATTCGTTTGCATAGAACGATGTATTTATTTAACCTAAAAATAAATTAGTAAAATTACGATTTAATGAAAATTATAGACATGTGCCATTAAATTTAGTGATACAGTTATGGTGTTATAGCTAAAATGTAACTTTTGAAAAGAAGAAAAGTTTATATGGTTAAGTGTATAAGATATTACAATATAAGTACAATTTAAATAACGTGAAATTTTAGACGTATGGACATTAAACTTGAAGTATGTTAATTAGCCACAAGATGATAATGGTAATCGATGTGATAGTGTGATTGGTCATAATGAAAATATTCATTATAAATTATAAATATTTATAAATGTTGCATGCTATTAAATTTTTTTTTTTTATGAACAAGTTTTTAAATTTGTGTTTAATTTTTACATTACGAACGTTTTATCGATATATATATATTTGATTAATCGTGGTTGTTCTTGGGTTCCCGATGTCCATCCAAATGATCAAAATATGATTGAGACACTTAAAACGTAGTATTTTCTGTATTGTGTATATACATATATGTATATATATATTAAATAAATAAATGGATTGGGTGTCCAAAATAATTTCATAATGATAGATTATTTAGAAAAAGTAATGTTTCTATAATTATATTCAAGTACCCAGAGTTGGGCAAAATTTTATTTAGATAATTATTCGAAAAATTATTTGAGTGATTTTATTAGAGATTTATTCGAATAATTTTTCTAACCTAATAATTCGAATACTTCTTAAACCTAAGTAATTGAATAAAAAATTATTCGAATATTTTTTATACCTTATTATTCGAATGACATTTCTTTAATTAATTTTCGTTTATTTTATTTTATTGTACATTCGTACATTCTTTGATAATTTAAAACATGCAAACAAATTCAAAAAAATAATAAAAAATAATTTCAACAAAAACAAATATAGAACTTTTATGAATTATGAATATTTAAGGAAGTCATGTTGTAATGAATTTAAATTTGAAATTAAATGAAACATGAATTTCACATATTTATCAATATTTAACATTTATAGGAAAACTATAGTGGAAAAATTGGAAACACGATACTAGTAATATGATATAAGTATCATATAGAAAATTACATAGTACAAAATATTCATACATTTGGTAAAATTACCTTTACAATTTTTAGGTTATAGATATTATAAAATTAAAGAGATAATTTTAATAGTTATAACTTATATGCCAAAACTCACACGGAACATGCTATTATAAACAGGATTCACTTATGACTTTTTACAATTCATTTTAGCAAATAATAAAAAAATAATTGCTTACATTTGAAAATCATTAGAATAATTTTTTATTCGTATAATTGAGAAAAATTTCTCCAAATCTATCTAAATTCAATTTTCTCCAAATAATCATCTAAGTAAATTTTTACTCTACTTACTAATACCTACCATATATTATACTTAATTAAAGAAAAATATAATAGTAATAATAAAAATAATAATTATTAATTTAATGAAATATATTAAATCATTGATAGACTTAATTGATACCACTAAGCATATCACAATATATGTCTAGTTAAGAGTGACAAGAAAAAAAAATATGAGTTATTTATATAAGTAAGAATAATACATTACATCAGAAGATTATAATAATATTTTAATATTTAATATGCATATATAAACCACTATACTGGAGTTATTCAATTTTTTTTTTTATACTGATATGGGAGTTAATATTTTAACGTTATACTGTTCATAGTTTTAAAACCAACTGATAGAATTCATTACAATTTAGTTTGTTTTAGAAATAATCAATATAAATGTTTAATATTATTCATAATACATTTGTATTATTGATTTAATATAATTTTATAATGCTGACTATATTATATACCAATGATTCCCAACCGGTGTGCCGCGGCACATTGGTGTGTCGCGAGCGCCCTTTAAATGTGCCGCGATAAATCTATAAATTGTTTTATAAGTATGTATTTACCAACTTATTACTGATATTCGAGATGAAAATTGATAGAACTAATCGTAGATACATATAATATTATTTATTGTAAGTATGCCTGTCGCAGCCGTCTCGATCGATCGATTGTATTAATATATTTCTCAATAAATAACCCTCTAATAGAGTAGACTGTAAACAATATATATATAAAATATGGTTCACATAATATATGGGTTAGTGTTCCGCGAAAACTTTGTTGGAGATGAAGTGTGTCGCATTGTTAAAAAGGTTGAAAACCACTGTTATATACGGATGTGACGTATGTGTAGATATATCGTTTATGTACAAAGCATCCAAAATGATTGAAACTTTTTCCATGTGGATTTTCAAACTTTTTGAACGCCCAGAAAATATGTTAATATTAAATGTTATTCTTTGATTGAATGTTATATTATTTTTATTTATTTAACGTATTCGATATTTAAATTTACTGTATAACGAGTATTATGTACACAAACTTCATGTAATACAACTTTACAGTCTGTTCATAAATAAATAAATGTATTTTACATGTACCTTAACTTTTTGACAGTCATTGCTTAATTTCTGTTTCTAATTTCCGTGGTAGGTACTATTTTTAACATAATATTAGGACATTTTATTTTTTTGATCAACGACTTGTCATATCACTTTCGAATAGATCTTTTCCAAAATCAATTTAATATTGTCCAATACCTGCTAAGTGCAGGTAGATTTTACAGGGGTACGTAATTTCTAGAATAACCTGCACAGAAGCAATTAAAGACGAATCAATATTCGTCTTTAATTGCTTCTGTGCAGGTTATTCATATAATTTATCGCGATGAATATTAAAACTTATACATACATATGTTCTTCGCATTTAATATTAATTACAATACAAATACAAATTTGTTTCATTAATAAAAATTAGCAAATACAACTACAGAAATTCACGCTGACTATACAGTTATACTGGCTTCTGATGCAGGCTAATCTAGGTAACGTGATGGCGAATAAAATATAACCCCGAAAAATTATTTTATGAAGTATTTATTTTACATAAAAAATATTCCCTATCACTGAAACTGCAAGGAATAGATATCATATTCCTACATCCCACAGGTGAAATATCTAGGACTTATACTCGACTAACGCTTAACCTGGGGAACCTCACCTAAAGTCAAAACATATAACGCTAAATAGTCGTATAAATATATTTCGTCCTATATTTTAATTTAAACTATCGATCCATACAAAACTAATATTATATGTATAAATCCTTATTAAGGTCTATCTGGGCTTAGGCATGTAAACTTGGGGCTGCGCTAAACCATCCCAAATCCGAATTATTCAAGTTTTCAAATTAATCTCTCTCCGATTAATAGCCTCAGCTACATGGTATATAATAAATAAAACGCTACACAAATATTTGAAAATATACTGAGCTGATCAACTAGCAAATATATATTAGGTATATCAAAACTTCATACAAATTTTCAACACCATAAAAACCCATTCAGTTCACACTTATCTTCACGCAAATTACTAGAAAACCCTCTTTTTGCCACAAAAGACGAAGGTGATGAGACCTTCTTAACTAATAAATTTATAACTATTATGCTCTGAAGGGTTCTATTAATGAACAGTTTCCCTTATCAAGTCAATCTGCTTCTGTAAATATTATTTTTGTATAAAGACCTAATATTTACTTACCGTGTTTTTTTTTTCAAATGCAGATCATAAGTTT